CTGCTGCCAGCCACAAAATCGTCTTTCAGCACTGAAAGTAAACAATACACGGTGCTATGCTGTAATACTTCCAGTCTGTGTGACCGCCAATGACCTTACGCATATTTAGAGAGCCGGAGAGGGCGGTAGAGAGAGAAAGTGCTGGCTCACTGGTCTGCATTGAGCGAGGGGTCAGGCTGAGGTCACTTTTGTTTTTATCCCGCACTCCTCCCCCATTAATCTTCTCGGAGGGAATCCCTCCCCTGCTGTTTGACAGCTCTCTCTCTCTTTTCCTGTGACATCATTAGCCTTAGGAAGAGGGGGACGGGAATCCTTAAGCCAGCAGCCTGACAGCTCTCTTCCTCACCCCTTCCCCCCGTCCGTCTCAGTTTGACTCAATCACCTGTCAGATATTTATAGCTCTGTCTAGAGCCGCTCTGCATTCATTATAGGGCAGGCAGACCAGAGCCACATGCCGAGTGATGCAGAAAAAATCGAAGAATGGCATAAAAATATAAATTTCCATTACTTAATTTTAGTGCTGTCAAACGATTCATCGTGATTAATCGCATCCAAAATAAAAGTTTTTGTTTACATGATATATGTGTGTGTACTGTGTGTATTTATAATGTATATATAAATGCACACACATACAGTATATATTTTGAAAATATTTACATGTATTTATGTGTATATATATTTATATTTATATTACAGATAAATATATTTAATATATAAACATATAATAACATATTTTTCTTGAATATATACATGTATATGTGCGTATTTATATAGACATTATATAGACATAAATATACACAGTGCACACACATAATAAATATGCACAGTACACACACATATATATTATGTAAACAAAAATGTTTATTTTGGATGCAATTAATCATGATTAATCATTTGACAGCACTAGTATTTATATCTTTTTTGTGTGTATTGATGGATGTGTTTGGGCTAAGCCCTGGAAATCTACTCACCCCAGCTGACGACTTACCCGCTGTGTGTTTCTGTCCCGTGTGTGTGTGTGTGTGTGTGTGTGCAGGACCCAGCACCACCTGTACGGAGGACTCGTGTCATCATCAGGGGGTGTGTCTGCAGCAGTGGGAGGGCTTCTCGTGTGACTGCACCATGACGTCCTACGGGGGCTCGTACTGCAGCGATCGTGAGTACACACACCGCCGCCGTCTTCTGCAGCGATCCTGGCCACAGATCACACTGTAGTGTTCACAGAATACTTCTTATTCCAGCTCTAAACCGGCTTCTGTAGTTGCTTTGAGTCCTGTGTGATTTATGGACCCTTTTCACAGACCGTGATGACGCATTTCCACATTAATCAACATTATTATTGTTATTATTATTATTATTATTGTTATTGTATATAATGTATATACTTTTTATACAAGTAATATATAAATAAAATATGCCATACATTTCCAAAATAACATCACGTTATATCAGACGTCACGATCGGGGTGACTTGAGCAACCAGGAAGCATAAAGGTGCAAGCACACATCTTAGCTTCTGTGGAAGCGAGTGCCTGCAAGGATGTAGGGAGTATGGCAGGGAGACGCAGCGTGGTTACATGGTTACATACGTAACCTCGAGACGTTCCCCTTCAGGAACTCGAACTTGGGACCCTGGGGTAGATGTCAGGTCCAGACTGTAGAACCAGATGAATGTGTGCGTAGATGACCAGCCTGCTGCAGCACAAACATCTTGAAGGGCCACGCCCACTGATAAGGCCTTGGAGGCCGCCATACCCCTGGTCGAGTGCGCTCTGACCCCTATAGGTGACTGGAGGCCAGAGGACTCATAGGCCAGTGTGATGGTCTCAACCACCCACCGACTCAGGGTTTGCTTGGTTGCTGGAACCCCTTTCTTAGGGGTTTACACGTAAAGTTTCCTCGTGGCGGGAGCTCTGGACTGGAGTATGGTCTCAACAACCTCAGTTGAGAGACCAGGTGCTAAGAGCTGTGTCCCCTCAGGGGCCATGCCCACAATTTCCATAACTCCAGGTGGGGGTGAAGGATGGGGCCCCCCGCCTGAGAGAGGAGGTCCCTCCTGATCGGAATCTCCAGCGGAGAGCCGTCGAGGAGGAACACAAGGTCCTAGAACCATACTCGGGCTGGCCAGAACGTGGCTACTAGCTGCAGACAGACCCCGTCCTGGCGTACTCTCTCCAGAACTCCCGGGAGCAGAGCGATCGGGGGAAATGCGTACAGACGAAGCCTCGGCCACGTCTGTACCATGGCATCCAGCCCAAGCATCCTGCAACGCAAATAGATCAGAATCAGAATCAGAATCAGAAGCCCACAGGAGGATCTGGTGCACCAGCCTGTAAAGGGGGCGCGAGTGCAGACCCCCCTGCCGGTTGATGTAGGATACCACCGATGTGTTGTCTGTACGAACAAGCACATGATGTCCCCTTAGGTCTGGAAGGAAGTGTTTTAGTGTTCGAAACACGCCAGGTATGTTTTCACATACGAGGAATTTGTTTTCATGACAGAAGCTTCCGCAATACAACAGAATGACAGCGACAGAACAAAAACACAGATAATAAAATAATTTAAAAAATATATATATATATAGATCCACTTCCGCCTGGCTGAACTCCCTCCAAAGGAGGTCCACCACCTCTGGGTGGAGCCTCCATTCCCCGGGCCTCAGCCCCTGTCCCGACAGGATGTCTGCTTCCTGATTGAGATGCCCAGGGATGTAGACTGCTGAGTGAGAGGAACTTTCCCTGAGCCCACAGGAGGATCTGGTGCACCAGCCTGTAAAGGGGGCGCGAGTGCAGACCCCCCTGGCGGTTGATGTAAGAGACCACTGATGTGTTGTCTGTGCGAAGGCCACTCATGACCGCTCCCCAGCCCGTGAGGGAGGCGTCCGTCGTTAGCGTTACACGACGACAAGGAGCCCCCAGCAATGGGCCTTGAGACAGGAACCAAGGTTTCTTCCACATGTCTAAGGCACGTAAGCATCGCTGCGTGACCTTGATTGTGCGAAGCGTGTTCCCTCTTGGGGAAAACCCCTTAGTTCTGAGCCACCACTGTATCCTCACATAAGTCCCTGGTCTGTCTAGATGTTGCAGAACATAATGGATCCACTTGTTGCAGAACAACATAGATCCACTTCCGCCTGGCTGAACTCCCTCCAAAGGAGGTCCACCACCTCTGGGTGGAGCCTCCATTCCCCGGGCCTCAGCCCCTGTCCCGACAGGATGTCTGCTTCCTGATTGAGATGCCCAGGGATGTAGACTGCTGAGTGAGAGGAACTTTCCCTGAGCCCACAGGAGGATCTGGTGCAGCCCCCAGCAATGGGCCTTGAGACAGGAACCAAGGTTTCTTCCACATGTCTAAGGCACGTAAGCATCGCTGCGTGACCTTGATTGTGCGAAGCGTGTTCCCTCTTGGGGAAAACCCCTTAGTTCTGAGCCACCACTGTAGGGGTCTCATGTACAGCAGGCCAAAAGGTATCATGTTAGATGCAGCTGCCATCAGACCCAATAGTCTCTGAAAATGCTTGACAGTGAGTGACTGGCCTTCTCTCACTCCCCTCACGGCTGTGAGAATTGTTTCGATATGAGCAGGAGACAACTGTGCCTGCAACGCTGTCGATTCCCACACCACGCCCAGATAAGGGGTTCTCTGTAGCGGAGAATGCACACTTTTCTTGACGTTTAGCCCAGCTCTTCCATATGGGCGAGGACGACATCTCGTTCGACTGATTTCACACATGCTTCAGAACGTGGTCTCGCCAGGGCATTCCCAAAGCGCTCGACACAGCTCAAGTTCTTGAAGGGGGACATCTACATTTAGCAGATCAGAGATGGATGATAATATACTGTAGTTACATTGTATTATGCTATAAACAATCATAACAATATAAACAATTGCTGTATATTGAGCTATATATCACTCTACGTGAGTGTAAATATAATATCTAAATTTGACGACTGTAATCCTTCTCTTTCTATTGTTTCCTCTTTTGTAAAGTTGTGGAAATGCTGTAGTGTTTTTTTTTCCCCATTTATCCTGCTGTTGTTCACAGAAATGTGAGGCGGGTCCACTGTTTCCCCGTGATGAATATGTAGAGGTGTTATAGATGTAAATCACACAGCATCTATGAGTCTGATCTCCTCTGCGCTGCTCTACAGCCGAAGCCACCGTGTTTACTGCTGTTTGTTTGATCTGTGTGTGTGTGTGTGTGTGAGCGCTGAGGACACGCCATCTTCATTATCTGTTCCTGCGTGTAATTTGATGTTAATTTCATCTCATCTCTTAATTGGCTGATTTATTGTAGTGATTAATTGGTTTTTCAAGGTCTCCCTGTTGGTTTAGTTGGCTTAATTGGTCGCTAAGTAAAATGCAGACACACTGGAGCGTTAGCATACGAGTCTGAGTACTTCCTGTTTCCTGTAGATCTGCAACGTAATGAGCGTCTCTCTGCTGTTACTAGACTGGCTCAGACCAGGAGCTGTGTTTAGTGCCGATGGAGCACTGCTAGCAAAACTTACCTGCTGAAACAGATTAACTAGATTAGTTTTTATGGTTACGTTAGTTAAGAAGGGTTTAAACATAAGCTGGATATTAGACGGTTGTGAAATAAAATGATGAAGGTGAACAAGACAGAATCCAAACCCAGGAGTGTGTCAGTCACATACACTCATAGTCACTCATACACATACACACACACACCCACAGACACACTCACACCCACAGACACACACACACACACACACACACACACACACACACC